TATTTTTTTTTGTTAATTTGAAAATTAAAATACTTAAATTTCAATCAAAACTACCACAGTATTTACAAAAATTTATAAATTACACTCGTTCGCTAGTGACAAATAGACTGTGATTTTATAACTCAAATTATCGTATTTTGATAACTGATGATATTTATTTTTTCTTGCAAATCCAGTCTAATTGTATACGACTATTGATTTACGATGTACCATGTCCACAGGCTGAGTTGAAACACACAGTGGAAATCCTCCATGAAGAACAAGAAAGAGTTGTGAAGATTGAAGCTATCAAGAAGAGTTTGGAAATTGAGGTGAAGAACTTGTCCGTCCGTCTTGAAGAAGTCGAAGCAAATGCCATCGTCGGTGGTAAACGAATCATCAGCAAACTGGAATCTCGTATTCGTGACATCGAATCAGAATTAGATGAAGAGAAGAGACGTCATGCTGAAACCATAAAGATTTTGAGGAAGAAGGAACGCACTGTTAAGGAAGTAATGATTCAGTGTGAGGAAGACCAGAAGAACATTGCTTTATTGCAAGAATCATTGGACAAGGCAAACCAGAAGATCACATTGTTCAAGAGACAATTACAAGAAGTGGTAAGTTATCTATTATTGTCTATTTGAAATTATCATCATTTTTATATTGTCTTTTTTGTGGTATTATTGATTATGCAATATTATGAATATTTAAAAACGAATTAAAGAATAAAAAAGTCGGAAAGTCTACGATGAAGTGAAATTATGACTTTCATGCTTTCCTACAATAATTGTTACTAATAACTTCGGGACTCGAGTGACTACATCGACGCTCCACTGCGATACCTTTGTCTGAGACAGGATCTGTTTATATTACATAGAATTATTAAGAGAGGAATGAAGAATTAAAAATAACATTTGATAGATAAAGGTAATACACTTCACTTGGCGGAAAATGTTAATGGACAAATGAGCCGCTTTTTTGTGGAGACCGACCACAGGAACATAACAGGTTTTGTTCAATATCCATAATTGTTGAAACAGAAAATGAAAATCGATTTTATTCAAAAACAAAATATGTTTATCACAAAATTACAAAATACCTTACAAAAAAGCACCGAACAGTAGCCATGAACTTTTTTGACAGACGACAATCTTGGAGGTGATTAATATCAATTAGGAAAAGTTGTCGAGTTGTTATTGAACGTGAATGTTAGCCTAACAACCTACCAGGATGCCATCGTGATAATTACTCAATCGAAATTGAATGATAAGTTTCAAATAATTTAAATGTGCCGCCCAAAGTGACATTAAACACTCCTAACACAGAATATGGGCCACAGAAAGTTAACCTTCGTAATCAAAGTGCTGCCAGATGAGCTGTGGGTATTCTGTGATTTTGTGGCAGAACCTATGTCCGAGAAGAAACTCTGGAAATACACTCTCACGACAAATATATTTTTTCCGTCTTCAATTATGAAATTGAACAACTGAAATGTCTTCTGAAAGTAACCAAACCAAGGGAAAAGGTGATTTAATGACATGTTTGGATGAAAAGTAACATTTTGTTACTGAATGAACTTCAACAACAAGGCGTTGCTGTTAAAATAAATATTTTTTACTGTTAATCAGCTGTCGCTCCCTACAAAAGACAAGTCTCAAAAGTAGAAACTTGTGCGAGCTAAGGACTAACGAGGTCTTACCTTTTAACGCGTTGGACGATAGGAAGTGAAAAACGATCATCCGGCCTTGCGGTTTGAATCACCGGTTCACCCAACGGTCGATTAAGTGAGTGGAGCAAACCACTCCTACTACTTTAGTATGTGCGGTGGAGCATCGGTGAAGTCAGTCAAGTCAAGTCCCTGGAATCACTTTTGTCCGTTAGATGTGTCGTGTAATAACTGAATCGGATCCGAACTATAGCTGAACTTTCGATTGATTTCAGTATGGTCCTACTGCTAAACGAACGAAAAGCATCTGCAAGATAATCCACTATGAGGAAACTTGCCTTTCATTACTACCTATAACTAACTGAATTAAATTTTTCAGGAGGGTGTATCCAGTCAGAGTGTAACCCGCGTGCGTCGCTTCCAGAGAGAATTGGAAGCTGCTGAGGACCGCGCTGAAACTGCCGAAAGCAATCTTTCCCTCATCCGAGCCAAGCACCGCACTTTCGTTACTACAAGCTCTGTACCTGGCTCACAAGTTTACCTGGTCCAGGAGAGTCGAACAACCGAAATGTAATCAAGCGTCACACGAAATATTGATATTTAAGTTTTACTGGATGTTACTTGCTGACTCCAACTTATTGAAAATAGGCTGTACTGACTACTGATCCAAGTAAAGTTGTTTGAATAGTTAATACCAATAATGTATGTAGTAACATCCTATTAACTAAGTTGTGTCTCATATCATTTTATCATTTTTATTTGGCATATACTGTTCTCGAATAAATGAATAAATAAATTGGAATTTCAATTTTGTTATGTTCCTGTCCCAAAGATTCCTGATGGATAATTCACCTTCCAAAAAGTTGAAAGCAAATTGGACTCAAATCAATCAAATATTCGAAAACGAAAAGATGAATTGATGATTTGGAATGTTAATATAAATATTGGAAGATTTATAACGGACTAATCTGAAAATTCTGAAACCAGGACCGTCACTATGGGGGGAAGGGGGGAGCCTCCCTCCCTTGCTTTTTCGACTTGGAAAAAAGTTGTGAAATTTTGGGCCGTGAAGATACAAAAAATAATAGTAAAAAATGAATGAAAATTAAAAAATAGAAATGAGAGACAAAAAAGGGGAAGAAAGAAAAGGGAAAGAACCAGGAAAAGGTTGGGATTTCCCAACATGCATAACTTGGTGATCCCAGACTTTGAAATTCTAAGTTGTTTGAAAACTTCAAAATAGTTTAATTTCTACTACTATACTCGTTCCATCCTGCGTCGATTTCGATGACGCTGATAGGTTACCCCCACTCCCATTGCGCCAGAACATACGTTGTTACACTACTAGATTTAATTAGAATTTTTTCAGTTCCCAACTCATTGAGGTCATAATTTCGTCATCCCATGTTGGATTTTCCAGCTAGATGGAGCCTCATTTTGATCAAAGTAAATTACATTTCAAAAAACCAATGTGAAAGAGGAAAATCCATTAATCTTTTATCACTTAAAACCGAGGGGAAAGCCAGTATTGTGGAGAGGGTAGAAAAACTCACGCATGCGCATTAAAATGCTCGATAACGAAGACGCGTACGATTGGTTTTAATCAGAAATATTGTTGGACTCTGGTCTGTTATGTTATTTTCCGTCCGTGTTTAGTTTGTCTATGTTATGTATTGCTTCCGTCGTTTTCGAGTTGTCAATTTCTCAAACAACAGAATCTGGTTACGCGGTTGCGGATGGTAACAGATAGCGACGACGAAAAAATTGTGAGGAGGTGGGTAGGTGAATATTATTGGCAAAGCCAAACAATGTGTGACTTTATTGGCGTACGACTGTAAGGCCCCTCTTTTTTGAGAGTTGTATACAGATCGCAATTTTGAAGCAATCGCATGGAAATTTAGAGAGTATACTCCTCAATCACCGAGAATTTGCTGTTTACTTTTTAGTTGCGCCTGTTGACGGTCGTGTCGTAATATTCGGAAATTCTAAATAATAATAGTCTAATAATTTCTTACCTTGCAGGTTTGTAAATCAGCCTGCCGAGTTTTGAAAAATCAATATGGAGACTAAACGGAAGGCTGGTCGGCAAAGAATGCAATGTTCGAAATGCTCAAAAATTACAAAAAGCAACACGAAAAAAGTTCTCACGATGGTAGGAAGGTGCAAGTGAAAATGCTCGGAGCTCCACTGGATCCATTCCAGGCTGCCTCGACTTCAAAAGGATGAGGATGACAGGAACACCAACGAGCAACCCTAACGTGCCGCCTCTTGTTGAGCCCAACCCCAACACTACTGTAACGAACCCTCTTTTTGAGGTCATTGCACCCGTCATGCCGATCCTCGGTCTTGATTCCAGTCCGCCATCCCCCGCACACTAATCAATGCTGAGATGAGCATTATGAATCAAACACGGCTCAGACTACTCCCGTTTCTACTACTTCTGAGCCCATTGTGAACATACCTCATGTGCAACAACCTGCTTCTAGTCCACCACCTCAAAGGCCCATTGATTTTTCCGAATCCAACAAAGTGGACAAAGAAATTGAAAATTCTGCTGCAGCAAAAATTTGGGATGAATTATTCATTGAAACAGTAGCTGCTTACAAGCGGTTGAAGGAGGAATTGATCGATTCTGTAGAATGCAGCGACAAATCAATATCAACTGCTGTTAATATGATCCCCCTAGTCAGTCAGATAGTTGAGTCAACTTTACACATCAAAGAAATTTGCGAAGTTGTGGTCAATTGGGTAATGAAACCTTTGATAACCACAAAACAGAATCGGGAATTGAAACCACTTCAGGCAATTTGGTCAGCCACGATCCTGGCCTTCGACCACAGTCCCTCTCCGAAAATGAGCGAATATTTTTAATGTCATTAGGTCCCCACCAGCCCATTTTAAATTGTTATCCATCTGATGGGAAAAATAGGTTTAACCCAAGGTGGTTCAAAGAATACGAACACCTTGAGTACAGTTCAGCCAAAGACGCAGCATACTGCTTCGTTTGCTGTATTTTTTCATCTGGCACAGAAAGAGAGCAATCAGAACATGCTTGGGTTTCAGAAGGAATTAAGAAGTGGGGGAAAATGAGGAGTTCAGGACGTAACACTAGGAAATTGCAGAAACACTTCTCTTCTAAGTCTCATCAGGCAGCATTGAAAGATTACTGCTTTTTCCTTCTCGAAAAAAGTCACATGGATGTTCTACTCGACGATTCAAGACATTTGGCGCTGATAGACTATCGAAAATAAACAAGATAATCACAGAAGCCATAGAAATCTATAGCTTGTTCGTGATAAGGATACATTGTAATTAAGTGTATAAATACTTAATCTTACATTGAAAGATGAGGAATGATGAATTAATCAATAACCTTATTAAGAGAGACAGTAGTTTCAGACAGAATACATAGTTATTTTCGTCTGCTCAACAAATGCTTAAGTTAAATTGCTGTTTGGAATAGTTTGATTAACAAAATCAGAAAAGAAAGCTATTTCGGTATTCAGAATGAATTTCTCTACTTCTTTCTTGAACATGTGAGAACTGTTGATATTTTTTATTTTTTTCTGGTAATATTTGGTATAAACGTGGTCCGAGATATGTTGCATTTCTTTGTCCCATGGTTTTGTCACATCGTGGTGCATGGAAATAAATCGATCCTTTGGATAAACTAGCATTCCAAAGCTACGATTTTGCCAGATCCATGTCTGGAAAATTTAATGAAGCCCAACAAAAACTATGTGAAATCGTCAAACACTATGTGCCTTATATTCCTTCCTTAAATTCCTTGCTTTATATTCCTTCCAAGAAATCTATGTTTTCACCACATCAAGTACAAAACATTTTGCCCATTTCAAAGACAAACTCGAGGACGTTGCAAACTCACTTCATCTGAAGAACTTGCCTCACACACGACGGACGACTAGAGCTGAGTCAGTAGCTGCTGTAGTAGCAAGCTTTGCAGTGATGACAGACTTTTTACATGACGTTGAATGTGACGGGAAATCGGATACCAAAACTAGAAATGCTGCTTATACCCTAAGAATGAAAATGTTATCTTTCGATTTCATAGTTTCTCTATATTTCTTGAAGAATCTAATATATGAAAATAGATGTTTGTTAGTTGGTTGGTTGGTTAGTTGGTAAGTGATAAACTTCTACATCGCTCAACCGATCGTGATGAAACTTGACATGTATAAGTAATTTTTCATAGAGAAGGTTTTTAGGCTATCAATGTGTTTTGTAACTCGCCACTGGCGCTGTAGAACTATTTTTTGAAAGCACTGTTCTATAACGCTGCGCACGCCTAAGTTCGTTGATTCTGATTCTGTCAAAACATTGGAATAGCAGCAATACAGCAACATAGTACTAGTATTATATATAAAATCAAAATAATGACCCAAATTCTTGAAGGGATAAATGGAAAAGACGATGAGGTTGAGCAGAGAGACGTTCTTAATATTATCGACGCAGTGAATGTGGTCCAAAGCTTGGTTGATTCAATGACCACTATCAGGGAAGGTGATAAAGAGATGGAGAACCACATATCAAGTTTTACACAAAAGTCGGTGGAAACGCTGAAGAAGACTTCAAGAAAAATCATCGAGTTCGATCCATTCCCCGAAGATTCGATGCCAATCCGTCGACTCGAGCGGTTTTGTCGCTAAACGAATTTTACAGGAGTGAGATTAGAAAGGTGTTAAATACGCTTATCGCCTTTCTTCAGGACGACGTAAAGGTGGTAATGGAGAAATTGCGACCATTCTTTGAGGCTTTCCAATTATCCCTCAGAAAGAGTACCCCAACGAACGGAAATACATACCAACCGATCAACCAGTAGTCGATGCTCTCACAAGTGAGATGGAGGTGTTATTCGATTTGGCCATTGACTCTACGTCAATGGGACAGTTGGTGTCCAAATCGCTGCCGACTAAGGGCGCGCTGAAAATGGCGCAAAACGTGCTGAGGCTCGTTTTAACAGCCGGTTATTCTGTCGCATCAAATGAGAGAACCTTCAGTTCGCTGAAATTTATAAAAAACTCTGAGATCCTCCATGTATGATGTTGACTAGAAGCATTACTACTAATACAATAAGAGCAAGATCTAGTCGACTCAATGGAGGACTCAGAGGAGTTAGTCCAAGCCTGGAGAAAACTAAAGAACAGAAGGATAAAACTTCGATAATTCCATTATTTCACTCTTATTGTATACAATGTCATTCTTCGGCTCAATCATCAAAGTTGCTTTGTGCATTTAAATAAAGAGTTTATTTAGATTTTTATTGTACAAGTTCCTTTAGTGATTTGAATAAAGAGTTTATTTACATTTCAATTCCTGTTTTTCTTAATAAGCACAATATTATTTAGGTGTTGTTTCCTTTCATTTGTATTGAATATTCCTATACATGGTGGATATGGTGAACTACTTCAAAATGATGTCATTCCAAGTTTAGCAAATTTATATCCTGATCCAGGTTTCAGCAGGATGGAACACCAACCACACTACCAAGTTAATGTCCGGCAATGTATCGATACAACATTTCCCAATCGGTAGATAGGGAGGCGAGGATCGATTGAATGGCCAGCGTTATCACCTGATCTTTCATCATTAGATTTCTTTTTATGGAAATATATAAAGAGCAAAGTGTACAAAACTGAACCTTCAAATTTGAATGACTTAAAGACGAATAATGCTTGCCATTAGGTCGGTCACGCCTGATATATTAAATACCTAATGTTAGACGGCAGTTTTATTTGAGATCAGAATATTGCCAAAACGTTCGTAGTGAACATTTTGAATAACTACTTCGTTAATATCCATAGTTCTTTTTCGTATTCTACATTTCATTACGTTTTGCATTACATTTTAGTTTTTGAGTGTATTTTATCGAATTTCGGTAACCACACAATTTTAATTTATTGTATCTTAATTGTTGCAATAAACTTGAAAGCAATGACATTTTTGAATAGAGAATGAAGAGACTTTTCAAACGATAACGCAAACCTATATTTCCCATTCAAAAAATTGGGGGTCGTACCTGCCATTCGAAGGGGGTTGAAGATAGGGGTGGCATTTTTACGTTGAGGAATGTCAAATTATAATTTACATTTGACGTGTTTTGAAATTTGTTTTAAATATGTAGAGTAACCGAAATATAATTTATTTCATTTGGCTTTTACACACTGTATAACTTTTGTCCTTGCAGCAAACGCGCATATCACTGATGATGTTTGACGCAGTAGCAGACGAAACGCTTGATACTTTAGGTTTCATTTGACTACGGCCTACTAGCTTTTTAATTAGGCGTTTATGTCACCAGAAGGAGCAAATGCTCTTGTCAACATTCATAAGGTTACTTAATTCTTTTCCAGCGCTAGGAATTTTAGGTATTTCTGGGGATTGACAGTTTTCTATGTAGGTTAAATTTTGAATCAATATACATATATTATATTCGTAGTGGTCCTGAGAATATCTGTTTCGATTCGATAATCAGTATGCATCTTCCCTGCTTGCTGAATGAAAACAAAGACCTTTCAATAAATTGGTGTATATTTGAATATTTCATGTGAACAGTAGGTAAGTTATTCATTCATTCGGCAGTATTTCGAAAGAGTAAAAAATGAAGGAAGTCTTTTGAAGTCATTGTTATTCGTACAATATGATTACTCGAGAGTTAGCTGTTGAAAAGGATGATTGTTGGAGAAAAAAGCAATTGGTCAAAACTAGTAACAATTTCAAAAACAAAACTTGAAAACTTTAACAACCATTCGTAGGTGTTCTTGATCTTTAACAATATTCAAATAAATAAAAAGTAACTATAAAACTTGAACTATACATCATTAGGTGTTCATTAATAAATACAAACAAAAAATGAGTGAGCAGCCACAAAAATATCACATTGAAATGTCACATGAAAGCTTGAGTATTAGACGTATTCGCAGATCAGAGATGATATCCTTCTATGTAGAGAGATAGATGTTTTTTCTCTTCCTCAGAAAGGCCGTTTTTCAATGTCCTACGAACTGAAAAGTAGAAAGAATTGTATTATTACTGATATTATTATGCAAAATTGATGTTAGTTGTGAGAAAAAATCGACTGTATAATCAACTTTAACACTAACAATTTGTACAACAAATTTGTTCCAAATACCAAATATGTATAGCTTGATTGTGAAGCACTTCAAACTTCTATTGGGATACTGAAAATGTAGCAGTTTAATGTACAAGTTTTTTAAATTGGTTTTTCATTACCCAAAGATTATGAAAAATAATAATATAACGTCGAAAAGACTATATCGTCAAGGATGTTCTGTATTAGCTAGTGAGTTACAGTATGAGGATTTGTATAGCACCTCATTCGTCAGTTCATAGAAAATATTGAAATATTAGGTTGTTTCAAAAGTTTTGTTCGTTTTTATGAGTGATTTGTGACACATGCGGACGGGCGTGATCGTGGAGCAGGATCGGACCTCTTCTGTTGACCAGTGACGGCTGCTGCTGATGCAATTTATGATACATTTTGTCGATTTGTATCGCCAACAGCATATACAGGAAGAACTTCAGTGAAGAATCCTGCACTGATACCTGTCGGATATAATTCAACGCCCTTCGTAGTATTAGCCAGAGGAGTAGTTGTTTTTTGATAGGTGTCAGTCCGGTGGGGAATAGGATAGGTGGGGTCCGGTAACTGAGGGAAAATTTTTACGAGGTCCAGAAAAAAACAAATGATAAAAAGTGCCACCTATGTATTATTTTGGTTTCAAATCGAATTCTGAATTATGAAACACAAGACCTAAAATTAATGTGAGAAATTACACCGACGGTCTTGAGCCAGTTTTTCATAGTTTGGTTCTCGAGAGGAACAGCAAATTCAAAGTGTGTCTTCTAGGTGGGCGTCCTTTAATCTCGAACAATATTTGTTTTTCAAAAAATTAATCTTTGAGAAAGATGTTTCACATACATATGTCTAGCCAAACATAGTGGCCAAATGAATAGCTAGTTTCCTGAAATTTTCATATTTTTCTGGAACATGTTTGTCCAAAATTCTTCAGTGGATACCATTTTATATATTTGCAAATCAATTATCTCTATTTGAAGTGATGCCTAGCCACATCTGTCTTAAGATCGGCCAATGTCTTCTTCAGAGTTGTTTTTATAATAAAGAATTATCGGAATATGAGTGAATTTTCGTCTTGAAATATCTTTTTTAAAGATATCCAGCTTGCAACGAAAAGTAGATACGTTTTGTATCAGATTGTTGAGCGCATTTCAATATTTCAAAATATCTTTAAAAAAGCCACGACCACCATATTACGCTTGTTTGTGCTTTCTGGCTCCCTCCGTATCTAAGTTTTGCAAGAAGAAGGTTATTTCGTCTTTTATCAGCCAGAAACTTTCAATAACTTGACTTTTACTTAACCAACGAACATTTTGTCGTGTTAATGAAGGTATAGTATACCTTATCTATGTATTAATTTTTATACTTGGAACATAACACATTACAATATTTGGCCGTCCGATGTTCGACTTTTCGCAGTCCGCAAACGGACCGCGGTCCGCTTATTGCTGAGCGTTGGTGTAGGGAGTTGAGACTGGCTTGGACGAATTCTTCCTTCAGATGATTTGATTTATAGCCAGTCTTCAAGTATGCCCACTGACTATATGTGAAGAGTTTTCTTTCCTTATACGAGGAATTAGCAAATTTCGGATATGCGGTTGGTTACCTCGTTCACAGGCAGATGGTGCGACGACAAGTATGTTGTTCGTTGTCTGCTTCAGTCTAGTTCAAGGAATGATACTCTGAAGGAATTCGATTTTAAATTATCAACACTACCTTGCACTGACGAGTGGCCAAACAGCCAGAAACCGGTCTGCAAGTGTGTTCCAATAATTGAAAATCTGTTGCGGCAGTTGTATGGCCAACAGCATATGCAGGAATAACAACAGTGAATAATTCTGCACTGACACCTGTCGGATATAATCCAACGCCCTTCGTGGTATCAGCCAAGGGAGTAGCTGTTTTCTGATAGGTGTCAGTCCATTAACCAACAGTGTAGGGAGTTGAGACTGGCTTGAACTAATTGTTCTTTCAGATAATTCAATATAAATATTTATTGAGACATGGAGTTACGAAAACACATGACATCAAAACGAACAAAACTTTGAAACACCGAAGTAAAGCAAAGTGTTTTTTGTGTTCATATAAAAGTATTTGTTTCTGAAGTATTTTTTTCGTGTAATTCAATGTTTATTCGAAAGTAGCTGTTTCGAGAGGATTAGTACTTTCCCTGATCAAATTGTATGAGTGACCAAGGGGTGGGGAGAGAAGTATGACAGTTGAGGTAACGATAGGGTTTGTCCCCCTTGGATTTAAAACTGACGTGTTTTTGCTATATTTTCACAACACATGAGTTTTGAAGAATTCGGTGTCGGGTTGAGTCGAACCATAATTACAAATTTCGTCCGCTATTTTGAAGCCACCATCTTGATTTTTTGCATTAAAAAACAATTAATAATTTACGACCCTGAAAACCACCACTTATCAATTTTGAATCAAATCCGACCATAACTGCAAATCTTGTCCGCCATTGTGAAGCTGCCATCTTGTTTTTCCCCTAGAAAGACTCCATAATGCATTGTCACCGAATTTATGTCAAATTAGCTTGCGAATGAAGTATCATAATCTGGAATACGGAACAGTTTTTTCCTACATGAAGGCGCGAAAATCGAAAGTTAGGTAGGTAAAATTGACATGGCTGAATTCCTTATGAAATTACCTTTTCAACGATGTGTCACACTTATTACTTTCCCTATTCAAATTGTTTGGGTGATAGTCACCGAGGGGTGGGGGTATGACAGTTGAGGTTATGATAGGAAGATGTCTCCCTTGGGTTAAAAATTGACGCGTTTTTGCATTTTTTTTCAGAATACATGTGTTTTGAAGATATTCGATCTGTTTAGTTTTCGGTGCCCCACCCTGTATAAATCTGGCATTGAAATTATCTTTCGTAAATTCCATTTCCATATTACTGAAGGTATTTGGAATATTTTTAGTGACATGATCACAAATAATGATTAGTAAGCACACAAAAAAGTTAAAACAGATATTTCTAATGTCTTTCGGGCATGGTAACTACGAATCAAAACACTGCTCCAAATATTAGATCGATTTATATGATTTGAGAAATTTTGTGAAAAGTTTTCATAGTCGATTAGCGTATTTGATTTGTATTCCCACCATAACAATAGCTCACACATAATAACCCACATACCAAAATAAGTCGCTCAAGGGGAATCTCTTCCACATGGAATATTCTCTCGGGTTCGTGAATGCTTTACTATATACAAAAAAATATGATTCACCAGGTGCTGCGCTCAATACGGCAATATAAATAGATGGAAACGCAAGGTACCATTTCATTAATTAACATGTGGAATAAATTTATTGAAATAAAGTTGAATGACAAAATCTTATGAATACCCAAAAAGACTTAGTACGGGATAATATCTCCGAAGTCAGGGAAGATATATAGACATTTTTGTAATATTTCGATTTGAGATTATAGTAGTATCAGTCGATTCAGTTTTTTGTTGACATTGACATTGAAGAGGCGATAGTAAACTTTACGATTTTATTCCTTTCGATATGGTTAGCTCGAATGGAAACAAAAAATTTCACTTCATGGACAAGCTAATCGAAGTTATTATGAGGCAGCAAGAGAATGTTGTTCTCCCAGACAGACCTAGCAGAGGTATCTAGGGTATAAATAAAGGCAATACTGTATCTAATTTGTTTTATTTTTCCTCTTGAAGATGATCACTTGGTGATTGAAACACGTGTCGAGGTGTTAAAAATAACGGTTTTTTGTTGGGATTGACCTCCAGTAATATTCATTACTACACCAAAGGTTCCAAACAGTGCATCACAATCCGATATACCAGTTTCTTCTAGTAACGTGAAAAGTATTATGCAACTTTTAGCGTAAAAGACACTCCAAAATCCGGTCACCCGTCTGTTGAAATCAAGGAGCCTCAAATTCAAGTTTTAGGTGATATTGTTGTTCAACCCAAGCAAGCAGTGCGCACAATAGCTGCTGCTGTATATACATGACATTTCGAGAAAACAAAAATTTGGTCCTTTTGAAATCCATCAAAGATTACAGTTTTTTGAAACCGTCACACAACCCAACCATCTCGATCGGTTATGTTTCAGTGATGGAGCATTTTTTTTAAATATTGGTTTCTGCCGATACTGCAATGATAATAATCTTCGATAGATTGAAAAAGCCCACTCACAGAATCCTAAGAAATTGAACGTATGGTCGGAATTATGGATAATACGATAATTGATTCTTTTTTATCAACGGAAATCTTACAGACACGTATATTTGCAACTTCTAGAAAAAGCCATCACAACTGGAATTCTAGCTGCTATTGGAAAATGCTTTTGACTACAATCCAATTTTTTATCAGGATGAGGTATGATCTGTGAGAGAATACCTAGATGAGGAATTTACTGGTCGTTGGATCGGGCGTTGAGTCATATTAAAAAGCCACCAAGATCTTTTGATCTCGCTGTCCTGACTATTGGGAATATGTAAAGGAGCAGGTATTTCTGACAAAACCAGAAAACTTATAAGAACTACGACCACAGATGTGTGCACTACTATAACATCATACATTCTGACGAACGTAAGACGAAATTTGTCAATATTGTTGTCACGAGGTTGGTAATAGTCATTTTCAACATTTTGTAAAATAAAATAGAACTCTTTTTCACGACTGGAGTTTTCATTAATCTTCCTTGTTGTCAGAAACGTGTGACAGATTAGACCTCTAGTTTGTGCAGAAATGTTAGTTTCTTCAAGTTATTCAAAATTATTTAACGATATTGAGTTCCACTTGAGATCTTGAGATGCAGCCTGCAAGGGTGAAGAAGTTGTGAATGCGTAAAGAAGTATATTTCTCTGTATATATGTAATTTTCAAAATTTTGTTTTTCCATCCTCACTAACTTTGGAAAT